TAAAGGTAAGGAAATAGAGCCAGAAAAGTAAAATGACTTGCCCAGAGACACAGAGTCACTTGGTGCCCAAATCAAGATTACTGTTGAAAAATAACAGAGTCTCTGTCCTCTGTAAGTTTAAAAAGGATACCTACACATGAAAAAATAAATGGAGAACTAAGGTAGCCAGTACTCGTCAGTGTCTCATTGGCTCCACGGGTGTTTAGAAGATATCATGACTCCTGGGAACTGAACACTCTCCCCACTGAATTCTCCTAAATGCTTCTGACATGGGTGTGACCATGGGTCCCCATTGCCAGTGTGGCCCTAAGAAATGAGCAAGGAGAGAGGAAAGAAAGGGAAAAGAACATGGAAATGAAAAGGAAGCAGTAGGAGGAATATAGCATTGGAGAGGAAGACAAGTGATAGGAAAGAAGAAGAAAGACAGGAACATCTGCCAGGGCCAGGTCATCACACTGCCCCAAGGAATCCAGTCCCCACATTCAAAGCCTTGAGAGTATGGTGTTTCCCTGACTTGGTCCTGTGGTTTGTTCTCTCTTCTGCAGTTTTTCTACCTCCTCCACCCTTTCCAACCTCAACACGGAATAGTGGCAATGAAAATCTTAGTCTGTTCCAGGTTGGCTTCCATAGTTCCCTGGTTCCCAAGAGCACAGGAAGGGCCATTCACATGCTGACTGTTGGGTGCGTTCTCTGAGAGCCCTGTGGCCCCTGCGGACTCCGGAGGGCACCGGAGCTCGGGCCTCAGAAGGAGGCTGCTCAGCAGTGTGTCCTCACAGGACCGGAGACACCGGGTATCAACAGCAAGAGAATAATCTGTGACAAAGTTTTGTTCTTCTTTACTCCATTCATTTTCATGCTTAGATGTTTCTATAGCAGTGTTGCACATATTTTCAAAGGATCACTGAAGCTGTTTCATTTACTTAAAGGTTTTCTGTTTTTGTTTTTGTTTTTTTAGATTAATTCTGTAAGGATATTCATGCCCCTAAGGTCAGAGTGAATATAATGCTTTTCCCAATGGCAGTTAGCACAGATGTCTGTGTCCAAATCTTACACCCACAGGCACATACCCTCCTCTGGGTTCTTGTTCACACCCCTTTCTTACTGTCTCCCTGGACCCTGTTCACTCCTATCCCAGGCCCTTAGCAAGAGCAGTGTGACCAGGGAGGCCAGATGAGAGGACTTGACCTTTGGATGGAGGGTCAGGAAATCTGGTTTCCTGTTCTCAGCCTGTGCCTCCCTGGCCTTGGTATCTTATTAGTACCCTAATTTTCCAAATGAGGAGGTTAATTGGATAACTGCCAAGATCCCTTTCTCTCTCACATGCCTGGTGTGAGGAAGGTCCTATAGTTTCTGCCCAGGAGATAAGTGTCACAATGAGGAAATGCTTTCCTGTGGACGAGGTTGTCCTTTACACGGTTGGGTTCAGCCTCAGCTTTTCTCTCCGTAGCCCTCACACTCTCCCAGGGCACCTCCTTCAGCCCTCCTGCAAGCTGCACTCTCCTCTGCCCTGCCTCTGCATCTTGATGTTCCACAGGTGCCCTAATTCAGCAAGTCAGGAACTGATGTCTCCCCCTTCCTCTTCCTAGTCCCCTACTGCAGTGGGAGGCATCACCGTCCAGAGTCACCAAATCAGAAACCTCAGGGAGGGGACAGGGCACTTCTTTCACTGCCTCTTCCTCCATCCCCTGTGTGTATCCAGAAACCAAATTACATCTTTCATAAAGTATTGCCTACTGATCAACCAGTCCCTCTGTCTCTACTGCGGCTCGAGACTCCTTGACCTCTGTATGGGTCACTCTCCTACCCTCCCCACCCCGTCACCACTACCATGCTCTATAGCAGTGCCACACTGCAGTGCACATCTGACCCCATCATCCCAGTCTCCTCAGAATGGACTCCGAGCACCCAGGTGTGGCCACACTGCCCCTGGTCACCTTACCCATCCCCCCTCCTCCATTTTCTCACAGCCTTCACTCCAGCCAAATCAAAGGTTTGCATTTCCTGAAGCTCCGCACACTTCCCCCTCCCCTTAGTTCTCCTTCCATTTGGAATACCTGACCCCTACCCCCGCCTGCACCTACACAACACTCATCCTTCAAGCTTCATCTTGGAGATCCTGAGCTTTGTGAAGTCTACCCAGCACATAAATGTGTGTGTGAATGTTTGCATGGCTCACTGTCATGTCAGATGGGTTCTCTGAGTCTCCGCATGTTATGTGCCAGGATGTGGGACAAATGTCACATAGTTTAGACTTTACTGGAAGAATTAAAAAGGCCAAAGGTCACAAGAGAAGCCACAGACATGCTCCCTTCAAGTCCCCCATCCCACAAAGAGGTGTTCTAGGTCCAGGAAGCCACTGGTCTACAGTGTGGGGCTGCATTGCAGCAGAGGAGACGTGGACACTCTGCCCCTGGCCCTTCTCTTTTATAAGGAAATCAAGCAAGGCAAAAGCAGCCTGTAGATGAGGGAATAAATAGACTGCTTGGTGCCAGGCAGTCTGGGTTGGGGGTGCCAGCTGTTTACAGGAGTTGTCTGGGAATTCTGGCTTCCCAGCACACAGGGCCCAGGGAACCTTTGGATTATATTACTGTTCTCCCTGCCCTGGGGAAGAGGTGGTCTACGCTCGGGTGCTGCCTCTCTCCAGAGGCTCAGACACCCCAGAGGGAGCGCAAGTGTTGCTTTAAGATAGTTCAGCTGGTTGGTCCACACTGAAAATGAATGACTGGATGGATGGATGGATGGATGGATGGGTAGATAGACATGTAAAAGTAATTAGCACATATGTGAACATATGAAAGTGCCTGACACCTAGTGGGTATCCAGCTCATGTTTATTTCCCTTTCCTTTTCTTCCCTTCTCATCCCATGATTTCCACAGAGGTTTCTGGGGTGCAGAAGAGGTGGTTCTGTCATCTGGTATAAACATGAAAGCTCTGACCATCATGGGGATGGGCCTGTGTGGCTGTCTGACAGCCCCCATCCCCTTTCCACAGGTTTCCTCAGCTTGCACTATGCCCTTTTATAATATGTTTCCTTTTCAACACTACTCTGATGTTCATTTTAACACAAAGTAACCTAATTTTAGAAGATTGGAGGCTCCCACACATTGTGATTTGTACCGGGGTCACAACCCCTAGGCAGTCTCATCCGCAGGCTATATGATGCTCCAGGGGGTAGAAAGTAAAGGATGGATGCCTGCCTCTGAGATGCTGATTCAAGCCGATCTCTCCATTCCCTTCCCACAATTGCCGCCTGACCTGGGCCTGCATCTGCACACCAGCCAGTGGTTCTTAAACTTCACATGCCTCAGAGACACCTGGTAATTGTCTGCAATGCACAGTTCCAGGCTGCATAACCAGGAGATCTACTTCACTAGGTCTGGTTGGGGCCCAGAATTCTGCATTTTTTAAACTTTGCATCTTTAAGCTGCTTCACCCCAGGGGGAAGGCCAGTACCCACTAAATGTCTAGGGCACATGTGTCAAACACAAGGCCCTCGGGCCAAATCCGTCCCGCCAGGCCTTGCAATGTGGCCCGCACCGTGCTGTCATCACTGCACTCCGCTGCGTTTCCATCACAATGACAGTTTATGACTGTTCAGTAAACCATTCGGCCCGCGATTTAGGCTGGATTTTAGATTTTGGCCCCTTCTCTGATTGAGTTCGACACCCCTAGTCTAGGGGATCCAGAAAGAATGAAGGGGGCACAAGGACATGCATGGACTGACCTCTTCCTGAAGAGCTATCCATCAGGCCTCCAATGCCCCCGTCTTGGGGCACCTTCCAGCAGCTCAGTGGAAGGAGGCTGGCCTTCCCGGGCGAAGCTCACTCTACAATGTGGGTGGGACTGCAGATATTCAGTGAGCTCCACCTGACCTGGTAGAAGATGGGAATATAGGTCTGGGTGTTCTGAGTTGAGTGCTTCCTGGAGGTTATGGACAGGCCTATCCTGCTGCTTAGAGGACCTGTGGGCCTAAGGCCACATGGACTGTTGTTTTGTGGCTCCAGTGAGAGATGGGCTGAGGGTGCTGTAGAGGCGAGCAGTGGAGTGTGAAGAACCAGGCAGCAGCCGTGGCTTGATGGGTGCCGTTAAGGATGTGCACTGGGGATGGTTGGGGGAGACAGCAATTAGTGGTGCGGGAAGCTGGCCAATCAGCCCAGCTTGCTCTAATTCAGCCAAAGAATCTGTCTTGTTCAGTGTGGGCTCCCAGGGCCAGGAGCTGCAGCCGTATATGCGGAGGGAGGAAAAGACTCCCTCTCTCCCACCCCTGAGAAAAGAGACAAACCTCTTCCATCCCCTGTCCCCATCCCAGTGCCTGTCTCCATCCTGGAAATGCTGATTTTCACTGCTAACCTGCTCTGTGTCTTTGGACAGAATTTTGTTTTCTGGAGAGAGAGAGAGTTCAAATTTTTTGACATTTGTATGTGAGCAGTTATGCCTGTCTCAGCTGCTGTTTAGAGATCTTCAGTGTCTCAAACACTTCACAGCTGTGTGCTTGCTGTTTTGGAGAGCTCAGCTGGTACTCTGCCAGGACTGTGTTGTCTCCATGTTTGTTTCCTTAAATCATGGCGCACCCCTCCTGCGGTCCTGTCTCACCCCTTTCTCAGCACCCTCTCCTCTGTCCAGGCATCGTTTCCCTTTAGATCAAGGCATTATGGGTTGTCTCCTGAGAAGGTACTATGACATGTTCTCTGATTAAGTAAGATGTTTTCCAAAAATGTTTAATTTTTTACCATTATAATATTTACACTGTAACAGAAGACATTTAAAGACTTAAAAACAAACAAAAACCCAGTGCCCAGTGCATTGGAATTCTAACCATGAAACAGACTGTGGAGTTACTAATTTGTCTTGGGGGTCCTACCCAGTGTCCCCTTAACTCCTCCTATGGGGTCGGGACAGCATTCTCCTCCACCTTTTGTGAGAGCTGATGGGGCAGAACTTTATAAAATCCCCAATCTAACAATTTTCTTTTTCTCTCTCTTCTATTTTTGTTTCCTAGGAACGAGTGGAGTATCTCTTTCTCATCATTTTTACTGTGGAAGCATTTTTAAAAGTAATAGCCCATGGACTTCTCTTTCACCCTAACGCTTACCTCCGCAACGGGTGGAATTTACTAGATTTTATAATTGTGGTTGTAGGGTAAGTACAACTATCCTGCTCTCCCCCCTCCCCTCACCCCTGCTGCCAACCAATACATATCTCTCCTTCTGTGTTTATATTCCTTTTGATCTGGTCACAGTGGCTCTGGGCTCAGGCAGAACAAGAGGACCTACTAAATATCTTTTTGAATTCAGACTTTCTCCAAAGGTAGAGGAACAATTATCTAGGAACCTCCTCACCACTACTCGCACATAAATGCACGCACACACACGCATGCATGCACAAGTTGAACCTGAGGGCTTCTGATGGAACCCAGGGTCCCACATGCAACTTAGGACATTCCTCTGCTTAAGGTGTTTTCTTCCGTCTCCAACCACGCCTGGCCTGACAGCACCTCTGACCAATCTCCCTGCTGTGTCACTGAGCAGATTTAGTTCAGCTTGCTGTGAGCATGCAGTCCCGCGCCTGGTTGGGGCTAGCACACAAGCACTGTGGATGCCTCCTCTCACCTCTTCAGTGAGCTTTGTTCGGTGGCCAAGGAAACCAGGCTGCTTAAGACAGGTGCGTGAGAAGAAAACAGGGAACTATGAAGGACCAAGATGATAAGCCAACCCCAAATCAAACACAGCCTCCCCCTGACATACTGCTGGATTTTAACATCAGATAAGGCAAAGTCAATCTATGCTTTTTCTTAAAAAGCATTGTAAGAAGTTTTAAATAAAATTTTGAAGTGATCTCATCAAGGAATTAGTAACTTCAAGAATGATTCTCTAGGAAATGTTTCTACCTAATAAGCTTACATCTGCTGTGCGAGATGTAACTTATTAACACACAGTGGTTGAGTTTCCTACAACTCAGCTGTTTTCTAAAGGGAGGGTCCCTTTGCAGCAAGATTTCACTTTAAGAATAAACTGCTTCTTTGAGCCCATAGAGTGGTCAAGTTGTAGCCACCTTGGGTTTCCACTGCATTGGAGTTCCGACAGGCTTCATTGTCAAGGTCAATATGTCATTTGGCTCTTACCCCAAGAAACTATTTTCATGAATCCTTTGTACTGTCCCAGTGAAGACCAAGGCCTTGCAGTTTCTCCAGAGCACTCGCTTCTTGTGATCTCATGGGAGTGTCTGGTCTTTCCTGAAGGAAATAACACAGGGGCAGATCGAGGTCAATTGGAAGTTATGTCCTTGTCTCTGGCCATCTGGATGGCTTGTGAGGGTTATTTGGAAGTGTTTTAGAGTTTTTACTTGGTTGTCCTTTTTGCCTGACCCATGAGTGACACACTTCGGCCACATTAACATCAAGGATATTTGGGTGGCTTGAGGAGCACTAAAATCAGAATATTTGCCAGGAATATATTTGGGTCCAGAGGACTCAGAGTGAGAAGGCAGTTATATGAGAGATTTTGCCAGAATTTCATGCCAGAATACACGAGTGACTCCACAAATGCCTTGAATTAACTCAGTAAAACATAGCAGAGGTCTTTAAGGTGGGTTGTTCCAAAAGTCCCTGGATCCTGTTTAAGTCCAGCATTGCTCACAAGGCCTCAGTCTCCTGGGGACTTTTCATAACTGTGTGGAAAGGAGCTCCAGGCTGAGCTCGGGTCCTTCTGGGAGCCATGGAGAGACCAGGTATCTTGCTGGGACCAATTTTGTTTAGGCAAAGACACTGCTTTTTCTCATGTTTATGAATGAATCGAAGTTGACCAGATACAGTGCCGTGCTCAGTTCACGGCCTTAAATAGAGCACAGGAGGTGAGAACAGGCAGCACCAGTAGCATCCAACAGGAGCCCTGAGGGGGAGGGGGGAGGAGCAGGTGCCGGCTGCACCGGTGCACTGGGCTACCCTGCTCATCTCTAGCTTGTTTAGAGGCCCTGCGTCCCTTGTACTGCTTCTTCTCACAGCCACAGAGGGTGGACTTTTTGTGGGTCATCTAGATTCTGGTCACATCTCCCTGGGGTCTAGACCATTGAGTCCAATGGAAAAGGCAGGCATTCTTCTAAAAGACACCTCTCGTTGACTCTGTAAGCTTTTTGCTCACCTTATGGTTCAGCATGACCCTTTGAGATTTCCCCCATCAATTTCACACGTGGCCGTGTTTGGAACCTAGTCTCTCTTCTCCATGGGCACTGGTCCCAGGGGCTTTCCATCCAATCTAAATCTCAGCCAATGCTACTGACAAAAAATAGCACACATCCCCCCACAGAAGGTGTAGCTCAACCACCTCTCTTCAGCTGTGCCTCCCATTCCTACTCTCTTTACACTATTAAATGGGTATTCCTGTTTCCCTCGCATCTCCTGGTAAATATCTGCTCTCCTTGGCACAGCTATTTAGGGGAAGGTCTATCCTGGCCTCCTTCAGGTCAGGAGAGTCTGCTGTGAGTGCGCCCAGGGAGGGCTAAGTTAAGAGCCACTATCTCACCTCTGCATTGCCCTTCTGGTGGCCTGTGAGGAGGCATTTCCATCCTAAAGTGGGGTTAGCTCCTTGGTATGATGGGAGATGCTGCTACTGAGTGAACACGGAGAGAACTCCAGAGGCCTCTGTGGGCTACCCACCCCCAGCCTACCCCTGAGAACTGGAGACTCCCAGTAGCTCCATCTGCTCCAGACATGCTGTGGCAGCCACAGAGGCTTCTGTCTCCCTCCTCATGTGTTGGTCCTGCATCACTGAGGCCTATGGAGCCTCACTGCCCTGTTCTTTTAAAAGCTCTAATGGTCAGCTAAGGAACAGCCAGACACACCTCCTACAGAAATTCACATGGGCATCTGAGCCTAGCCCTTAGGACAGGTACGCACCAAGCTGATTCCACCTTTACAGTGTCTAATGAGGAGAAACACAGCAGTCCCCACAGGCCAAGGCAAACAGCCCTAGGCCCGTCCCTGAATTTCCTACCCCTTCAAAACTAAAGCCAGACCCTTAATAAAGAGTCTGCATCAAGTTGGAGCAGGGGTTAAAAGACAGGAAAGTTGCCTACTCTCTGCTCCTTTCATGGAATAATATATGGTGAACATCTTGTTCTCCGATAAACATATTGCTTTCTTTCAGGAAATACTAGCAACCAAATCTGGTGTGGATTTGGAATGCTATCTAGCCAACTTGTGAATGGGTCTCCATGATCCAGACCTCAGTGGAAAAAACGTTTCTCTTTGGAAAAAGGAGCCTGTTCCCTCACCCTGGCAACCACTGCCTGGGATTCCAGGAATCACGAGCTAACATGTGAAGCCATCAGATCGCCAAGCTGAGCTGAAAGAATCATGGAGCACAGAGAGACTTTAGATGTGGTCTGGCCAGGGTCATCTAACTCTTTTTAGCTGCAGAACCCATTTTCAAACAAAGCCTTACTCAGAGGCCCAATGCAAAACACAGATCAAAGGGAGCCCATTGTTAAATATGGGGAAAGGATTCAGAACCCAATCTGGAGATGTCCCCAAGGAGTTCCATGGAGCACAGTTTGAAAATCCTTAACCTAGACCTGTCTCCTCATTGCTGGGCCCTGCTGGATCTGAGCTTCTGCAAAGCTAAGCCTGCAGCTATAGCCTCCCATTTCCAGGTCCACTGTTCTAGGCGTGAGTTATTTAAGTCTAGTCCAAAACAAAGTTGCCCTGGCCCTGAGTTCATGTCTGGTGAGAGAAACCAGTTTTCATACCTGGACTTTAATCTTGACCACAGGCCCTGGCCCAGCACACTCTGTGCTGGCAATGAATCAGTAGTCATCTCCAGGTACAAAGGACGGAAATTGTCCCTGTGTACCCTTTTCTCTATTGTTCTTGGTCACTACAAAAAGTCTCAGTATCTCATCCCATGTAGGTTTTGTGTCCTCTGATCTGCACCCATCTCCTCTCCACCCCACTCCTGAATCCTGCCCACTGTGCCCTCTGTTCCCCACAGTCCATCTCCACTCGGGCAGTAGACATTTCTTTATTTGACATTGAAATTGGGTCTCAAAAGAACTGGTGGCCCAGAAAGAAGCTCACTACAGACTGATTCATATGCCTTTCAGCATAACGATTATTGCTTGTCTCATTTTTGATTCTTAGAGTCAGGTACAGCCTTTCAGCTTCGTGAGCCCTGCAGTCTCTGTCCCAGCTGTTCAACTCTGTGGGGAGAACACAGCAATTATGTAAGGGAAGGGTGTGGCTGAATTCCAGTCAGACTTTATCTTCTGACCCCTCTTTTCACTTTCTGGCTTTAACCTGAGTGTCCTGCCCCCCTTGCAGTCTCTAAAGGTAGCCCATTGCCCTCCCAGATGCTTCATTCCACAGCCCAGAGGTCAGGAGAGCGGCCCCTAATTTCCCCTTCTTTCTGCTTTCCGAACACTGTTCCTCCCACTAAAAACCTCCACTTCTGATATTTGTGTCATCGGACACTTCTGTGGCCCACATCCCCTATTGCTGTCCTCGGCAGACCTTTGAGTCACTCCACATTCCTTGAGGAGTGAGCTCTTGGCTCACTCCACTCTCCAGCACTCACTGCTCTGCTGCTGCCACCACCTTCCCCGCTCTGGGAGCTTCTTCCCTAGGGATCCTGACTCCATCCTATTTCAGCTGCCCACTCCCATGGTTATACCAATATCCCTGTCGTTCCCTAATAACTACACCCTCCCTATACTCTCAAACCAAACATTCTACTTTAAGCATACCACCGTCTTTCCAGCTCGCTCCCTCTGGGACTTACTCCAACAATTTATTCATCCTGCCACATCTGTCTGCTCCTCCTCCCATCATGGGCACTCCTCCTTCCAACTGGCTTAGATGCCACATCCCATCATTATAATTCTTCACGTGCATTTACTCTCAACTTATATTCCTCTCTTCATTTGTCTTGCTCACCAGTCCTGATCAAATCCAACTAGATGGAGATTTTTTGGTACCTGAAGCTGTGCCATCGAAAGGGGGAGAGACATATGCAAAGTTAAGCTAATGGGTCTCACTTTACACTCGTGATCACCAACCTCGAATAGGTCAGCGGTGATTCCTGGCAACCTTCCTACTCACTCTTCCACTTGCTATATGATTCTTTAATGCCCTTGCCTTTCTCTTCAATCTTCTAATACCTCTTCCCCTTTCACATTTTTAGCTACCTGTTTCCCTGGGAACACAGATGCAACCAAAAGAGAATGTTCATACATTCCCACAACTATATCTGTGCACCTATAATGTGCCTCCTAACCTGAAACATGATAAACCTCTCCACCTCTATATAAGGCCAGCATCCCTAAATGTGCATTAGGTCCCATCCTGCCTACTGAAGGACATTGGCCCTTTGAGTAATTGTTCCCTCTGTGTCTGCATCATCAAATTATCCGTATCTGTTAGATAAGTCCCATCACATTTAAAAATGCTATTGTATTTTAATTTAAAAACAACAAAACACTTGATTCATCCCCCCTCTGAAAACTACCATTTTCCTCTAATCCTTTTTATAGCTAAATTACTCAAAGGAATTGTACAGTAGCCAACAGGCAAATGTGGCCATTCAGCACCTGAAAAGTAGCTAATCTGAATTCAGATATGCTGTATGTGTAAAATATACAGTTGAGTTCAAAAATTTACAACAAAAGACAAAGGGACAACTATATCATTTAAAATTCTTTACTTACTCGTATATTTATGTCAGTTAAAATATTTTGGTTACGTTGGGTTATATAAAATATATTGCCAAAGTTGCCAAAGCTGGTTTGGCTCAGTGGTAGAGCATCGGTCTGCGGGCTGAAAGGTCCCAGATTCAATTCTGGTCAAGGGCATGTACCTTGGTTGCAGGCACATCCCCGGTAGGGAGTGTGCAAGAGGCAGCTGGTTGATGTTTCTCTCTCATCGATGTTTCTAGCTCTCTATCTCTCTCCCTTTCTCTCTGTTAAAAATCAATAAAATATATTTTTTTAAATATATATTTCCAAAGTTAATTTTATCTTTTCCTTTTTTATTTTTTTTAATGTGGCTACTAGGAAATTTAACCTATATATGTGGCTCACATTTGTGGCCTGTATTATATTTCCATTGGACAGAGCTGTCCATTCTCTGTTTCTAGTGCTCCTCCTATTCTCATATCTATTAGGTTTTTGTATCCATCATCTATCAAAACCTGTTCACATGGTCTCATTGGTCTTCGTATTACTAAATTCCATGACCAGTGGTCCATCCTTGTATCTGTAGCACTTGACAGTTAGCCACTGTCTTCTCATGACCAATTCTTTCACAGCCCACCATTCTAACTACTTGTCTCTTTTACTGGTCTCTCCTCTCCTTCACCCCTCAGTGTTGGAGCCCCAGGATTCAGTCCTATTACATCCTCACTTTCTACACTAGGCAATCTCATTGGATTTGATTTTAATACAATCCATACAAGTATCCAGTGTTTGTCTCCATCCTGGAGTTCCCAACCCCCAGAAGTCCACACCCAATAGAGCCTACTAAGACATCTGTTCAGATGTCCAACCCACAGCTCAAACTGCACAAAGTTCAAAATGGAACCCTTGAGGTTGCATTCCCCTAAACCTCATCCTTCCAGTTGCTCAAGCCCAAACTCTTGGAATGGTCTTGATTCTTCTGTATTTCCTCACAATTCACATCTGGTTGATGAGCCCATCTCATCACATATTTCTTAAAATAAATCCAGAATCCGACTCTATCTCAGGACCTCCACCACCACCACCACCTGGTCTATGCCTCCCCACCTGGATTCATACAGCAGCCTGCCCTGGTCTGGTCCCACCATAGGCTATTCTTCCCACAGCGTCAGAGGGATTCTTAAAACTTTAGTCAAATCAGGTCACTCTCCTGCTCAAAATCTCCCAGTGCCTTCTGACTCAGAAAACCGGTAGGGCTCCTTGCTTCCTCTCCCACTGTGCTGCGTTTACCTGCTTTGCACCAGCCACCCTGCCACTTCTTGTCCCTCTAACGTACTGCCATGCTGCTCCCTCAGGCTCTTTGCATGGACTGTTCCCTCTGCCTCTTCCCATAGCTCTGTGTCCACTCCTGCATTTTATTTATGTTTCTGCTCACATGTCAGCCTGGGAGTGAGTTCCTTTCTTAGCCTTTTGATGTCAAACAGGAAGGCTCCCCCCCTGGCCCCGCCAACCCCCCCCCCCTTCATTGCTTCATTTGTCTTCTTAGCATTTGTCACTCTCTAGGTCTGATATACATTTATTGATTATTTGTTTTATTGTCTGACTCCTTCACTAGAACATAAGCTCCAAAAGGGGGTAAGGGCTGTCTATTTTGCTGTGGCCTGAGTGTCTAGAACATTACCAGGTGTGTGGGTATTTTATTTATTGGAGGGATGAACATACCAGCAGAAACACAGAGCAGCAGGGCTGCAATTTCCATGTCTTGGTTGCATGCCTTAGTGTGTGGTTTGCTCCTGCTAGAAACTTGCTCATTCAATCATTTATTCACTTGCTCATCATATTTCCTTGACGCATCTGTTGTGTGCCGGCACAAAGTAGATTTCTTTGGGACACTTATTTACACCCAGGTACAAATCAAAGATGGGGAGGAGAAAGAATGTGGTTCCAGGCCACATGAAGGCAAGAGCTAGGATATCACGGATGGGCCAGAGGGCACCGCAAGGAGATGGGGGTGGGGGTGGCGGGGCATGGCAGCAAACTTCATTTGCTTTTCACTCTGTCTAGGGCTGCCCTGCTCATAGATCCAGATGTATTCTCATAGCTTTATTATGGCAAAGTGCCTGCCTGTGGCCTCGCTCAGACTTCTCTAGGCAGTGGCCCTGCCCTGTATAGGCACGTGATGCATTGTCACCTTCCAGTGGCAAAGACTCTCCGGGCACATGCCTCAGCACTTGCTCTGAGGTGGAGAGGGTCACAAACTGCTCTCCCAGGCCTCCTTCAGAGATTCAGAGCCCGGCCGGGCAAAGAAACACTGTCTGACAGCTCCTTCTCTCCTTCCTCTCTTTTAGGCTTTTTAGTGCAATTTTAGAACAAGCAACCAAAGCTGACGGGGCAAACGCTCTAGGAGGGAAAGGGGCTGGATTTGATGTGAAGGCGCTGAGGGCATTCCGCGTGCTGCGCCCCTTGCGGCTGGTGTCTGGAGTTCCGAGTAAGTAGAGCCATTCTTATGTTGTCAACAACCTCCACTTTCCTTCGCCAAATTGCCAGGAGCACTTTGCAGAGGAACCTGATTTCCCAATAAATGGAGGTTTTGCCTAAATGAGATCCTTTGCTTTTAAAAACCCAGCTCCGATGTGAGTCCATTAAAACACACTGTGGTCCAGCTCCTATAAATACCTGAAAAACAAAACAAAACAAAACAAAACACACACACACACACACACACACACAAAAAAAAAACAAACAAACAAACAAAAAAAAAACCCACAGCTCTCACAGCCAAATGAAGACAGCCTGCACAGACCAAACAGTCCAGTGGCCAGCTGAGCAGCACTCCCAGGCTCTGGGCTGGGAATTTAAATACTTTTGTGGCAAAAGCACCTGGTGAGCAGAGACAGCTAATCCCCACCGCTCGAAGGATATTTGAAGCAATGGGATTAAGTCTAGTCTCTGTATTTTGCTGATGAACAATCATAAAAGCACCAGTGAATGTTCTAAAAGTTTAATTTTGTCATTTATTCCAGTCCCTCCTTCTTTTATGTCAAATGAGGCATCTCCGGCCTCAGAAACCCTATTAATGGACTCCGCCTGCCGTGATGAGAACTGGCTTCACCCGAGGGGTGGAGGGTGTTCAGTAATCTCAAACAAGCAGAGGGTGTTAGGGAGAAGACACCAGCCACATGGACAGCCCCCTTTAATGTGCCCCCAGAATTCTGTCCCATCAGGAATGAGGCCCAGTCACTGAACACAGCAGCTTGGGGCGCCTGCATCAGCTCCAGCAAACCCAGCCCATGTTGCTTCTGGAGCCTAAATCAGCTTTGGGGGAGCTTATCCTTCTCCTCATTGTTTGATTTGTGGTATCTGAGCATAATTCTGGACTTGTTTTCAGAGAGTTTACTCAAGTCAACTCCATCAGATCTGGCTAAAGACTTAAGGCAGAGGAGGTCCCTCTGACCAAGCTGGAAGCAAACTAGTTTAGGTGTGGGGGCGGGGTCAGGAAAACAAGGAGGTCCTCCGAGCACACAGCCTTTACCACCTACACCAGGGACAAAGCACTTAGTGACATTATGCTGCTTGGTGATATATCTTAGAGTCATGAAACCATAGAATGTGAAGGACCTCATATTAACCTGTTCAGTCCTTTGTTTTTTTCTATTTGTTTGTTCAGTCCCTTTTGTACATGCACAGAATAGTGAAGAGATCATCTCCAAGTAACTTAACCAGCAGCAGATCATGGCTAGGACTAGGTCTCCCAACTTTCTAACCAGCTCTTTCCTACCACACCCCAAGACCTCCTGTAAAGAATTAACTCTTGATTGTCTTAAACTTATACACATATATCCTCTCTCTTCAATTACACTATAAGTCTCTTGAAGCCCAGAACTGTGCCTAATATTGTCTCTAATTCCTGTACAATGTCTATGGTCTCTATGCAAGACAGGGAAGTTTACTTGGTAAATGAAATAAGAATTTGACTGTTTTCTTTGCAGTGAGGCCCCCTGGGCAAGGCTTGCGGCCTGTCTTAAACTGGACATAGAGCTAAATCACACAATACATGCAGAGCAGATTCTTTCTACTTGGCCTTAACCACTGGGGCATGTAGGGGTAGAAACATTATATATGATGGCCAAGACCCAATCCCCTTTTCTGAAGCTTAAATTATTTAGGTTTTCTTGGTCAACAGCCATAACTCAGTAGACCAAAATCAAGGGTGAGAAAGCAGGGTGAGAATGACTTTGAACATGACTTTAAGGAGCTTATCATGAAGGTGCAGCCAACATGCCAGTGATAGGAATCATGCATCGATTCCAAACTTAAGCTAAACAAGCTATAATGGACGTATTGACTCTTACCTATTGTGTATGTGCTTATTAGAGGCCCACAATTTCAGAGCATTGTGGTGGGTCTGAGGACAAATCATAAAGAATAAAAATGGTTCTAGCCAGTTTGGCTCAGTGGATAGAGTGTGGCATGTGGACCAACGGGTCCCGAGTTCAATTCTGGTCAAATACACGTACCTTGGTCACAGGGTTCTTCCCAGCCGGAGCCCTGGTTGGGGCTTATACAGGAGGCAACCAATCGAAGTGTTTCTTTCACATCAGTGTTTCTCTCTGTCTTTCCCTCTCTCTTCCACTCTCCCTAAAAATCAGTGGCAAAATATCCTCGGGTGAGGATTAACAACAACAACAACAAAAAAAAAAACCACACACACACATAAAACAACAACAACAACAACAAAAGAGAATAAATATGGTTCTGTCACTTGAAGAATATGATAGTCTAATAAAGAGGATTTCAGTCAATTTTTACCACGGGAACAAACAGTCCCAAACTCACAGTGATTTAAAACCAGGAACACGTGTACCTGGCTCATGGCACGCAAGAATACTGGCCAGCTGAGCTGTGCTGGGCTCACCAGGTTCTGCGTGCTGTCTGGTTGCAGCCCAGGCTGAAGAAGCGTCCAGCATGCAGGACAGGTTGTTTTCATGGCAGAGAGCAGACAGATGCTCACAAAGGGGTCATATTAAATGCTAAATTAAATAAAGCTAAACCACACAAGCATATTTTGTTTTTGCTCAAATATGGCTTATATCACAGCTGCTCACATTCCCGTAGCCAAAGCAAGTTACATAGCCATCTTTGTCCTAAAGATAATGGGACAAAGAAATATATCGTACTTACAGAGAAGCATGGGGGCATAATTGTGAGCAAGCAGAACAATCTGTCACAAAGGGATTGAGCAGAGTGTTATTAACAGAAATAGTTACACTAATTACTGTAGTACAGAGATTTGTAATTAGAGATGCATATGGCTGAGAACCCTCATGCTTTAGTGCATGAAAAGGGAGAATTTGATAGAATAGTGGAGGCTCCACTATAGAAGAAACTTCCTTAAGAAGGTGTCTTGCCGAAACTGGTTTGGCTCAGTGGATAAAGCATCGGCCTGCAGACTGAAAGGTCCTGGGTTCAATTCCGGTCAAGGGCATGTACCTTGGTTGCAGGCACATCCCCAGTAGGAGGTGTGCAAGAGGCAGCTGATAGATTATTCTCCCTCATCGATGTTTCTAACTCTCTATCCCTCTCTCTTCCTCTCTGTAAAAAATCAATAAAATATATTTTTTTTTTTAAAAAGAAGAAGGTCTTGTCTCCACATGCATTTGCATACTAGTAAAGGTGGAACTGTACTGTGGTCAAGAAGAGATAACACTTTTTGGAATTCTCTCATCAGGAAGATGAAGGCATGATAAAGCCCCTTAAATACAAGGCCCTGGTTTTACCTGCCATGCAGTTAAGGGCGATATTTTTTTGCCATTAAAGATGATGACACTGAGATGGTTTTGCAGTTGTGGGCAGCCTTGCAGTTGACAATGTGTCTTGTTTTTTGTAGATCACCAATAAAAAGAGAATGGATCTTTTTTGGGCTTAAAGAAAGTGCCAATCCAACCTTCCACCATTTCTCATTGGAATAGTGTCTGTGTGACTTGTGAGAAAGTATGTAGACCAAGGTGGAGAGGTGTGCTGTACTAGTTTAGATGATATCATCTAGGAAAATATCAGCAATATCTCTTATACTACAAACCTAGACAAATACCTCCTTCTCCCATTTCTCATAACAAGGTTGTCTCCTTTTATACTTCACCAAAACTCTTAAAAAACAAACAAAACAAAAAACCACGCCCCACAGTTGCCTTTACCTGTTATCTCCAATTCTCATCTTTCCATTCTCTCTGGAATCCCGTGCAGTTGGGCTTTCTCCCTCCTACTGTCCCCAACATCTCAGCTGAGGCCCCCCATTTCCATGTTACAGAGTCTGGTGATCACTTGTCTGGTGCAGTTTTGCTTGATCTATCGGCAGCTTATCTTGGAACCACTGTGATCACTAGGCTTTTGGAATACTGTTGTTTCTTAGTTGTACCCTTGCTTCACTTGTTTTTCCTTCCCGGGCATTCGAGGAAATCATGACTGCAATCCTGGTTTTGTGCACATGGTTTAGAGGTTGATTTCACTGTGGATATAGAAATCAGTTGACTCTTTTGATGAAATTCTGTGTAATTGCAAGATCTGTTCGTTTTCTTTCATTGAGACTCTTCCACATAAAGAAAATCAGCTCCACTGTCTGTGCAGCTCCACTTGTGCACACGCAGTGCTGTGAGCACAGGTGGCACCCAAGGACACACCATATGGAACAATAAACACTACACAATGAACATGAACAATAAATATGGAAGGTTGTGAATAAATATTTGCCTTGTGTATACATATAAGGAGTGCCTTTGCTTGTGTAGCAATAAGCAAGGGGTCATTTCCTCCTTTCCATATAATCCCATCTGCCCTTGAGAGAAGAACTCTCAGGAGTAGACCGAATAAAGGGAGCAGGGAGAGGGAGGTGAGAAAGTGTCTTTTGGTTTTGTGAGTTCTTTGACAAAATTCACAGTAGCCCAGACTGGATCCAACACTGAAGAGGATTGAAGGATCAGTTACCTTTATGCAAAATCAGCACCAGCCTTGGAAAACACCATCCGCTCACCAGGAACACTTGTCGAGCACGTTCTGTGAGCCAGGCATGAGGCAAGGCACTGGGGCTCAGAAATTAATAGGACACTATCCCCATCTGTCAAGGTACTTAAATGCTTTGGACTTTTCATGGGATACGTGTTTTCCTATGACGTGAATTTTTTTAAGGTTAGCTTCTTCTCAGATAAAAGTGTTATTTCTGGAAGCACACACAATAGAAAACAGCTTGTGATTATACAAGGGTTTGCTTCCTGGTTGAAAAGTGAAAAGGAGCAGTGAGGACCGTGTGTGGAGAGGGGTCAAACTCTTTTTTTCTGTTTTTCTTGCTTATGTTAGGACTGTTTCCTGACAACAAATCAGCACCGAACAGTTGACAAGTAGCTGATGAGTGGATACCAATAGAAGGCACCAGGAGAGACTTAAGACAGTTGTGAGCATGAGCTCTTGAAGCAGAATACCTGGCTTACTCTGTGG